CGTAATCAAGCTAACGAGCGCCGACCTCGCAATCAAGCTAACGAGCTTCGCCGACCTCGTAATCAAGCTAACGAGCGCCGACCTCGCAATCAAGCTAACGAGCTTCGCCGACCTCGTAATTGAGCTAACGAGCTTCGCCAACCTCGCAATCAAGCTAACGAGCTTCGCCGACCTCGTAATCGAGCTAACGAGCTTCGCCAACCTCGTAATCAAGCTAACGAGCTTCGCCAACCTCGTAATCAAGCTAACGAGCTTCGCCAACCTCGTAATTAAGCTAACCAGCTTCGCCAACCTCGTAATCAAGCTAACGAGCTTCGCCGACCTCGCAATCAAGCTAACGAGCTTCGCCGACCTCGTCATCAAGCTAACGAGCTTCGCCGACCTCGTAATTAAGCTAACGAGCGCCCACCGACCTTGTAGTTGATGACAACGTTGTTCTTGGCGGTCATGTAGTCGGCGATGTTGTGATCGACAATGAGACGCAGCAGCCTGTTGAGCAGCGTCAGATCGATCTTCTCGTAGAGCTTCTCGAAGAACGACTCCAGCATCACGTTGCACTCTCCCTCCGCCGTGTCCCACACGTCCTGCAGGTTGTTAATGCCTGTAGGAGAGAGGGGAGCGAGTGAGAAAGAGAGAGAGAGAGAGAGAGAGAGAGAGAGAGAGAGAGAGAGAGAGAGAGAGAGAGAGAGAGAGAGAGAGAGAGAGAGACGAGACGAGAGAGAGAGAGAGACAGAGAGATAACAGTCACACAGCGCACTAGCAATGCCGGCCACCACTAACACGCACCGCTAACATTCTAGCAAACACTCTAGGCAACATGTTAGGCGCCGCCCCTTTAAGCACTCTGGTCCCCCTGCTAAGCACGCCCAGCCCACCTCGCACGGGCTATCACCCTCCGTCACTCTACCCCTGGCACCAGCTTGGTACATGAGCAAGCGGGCGCGCTCTGTGTCGGCCGGCTTGATCGATGGGCGAAGCAGTCTGCACTTGTCCGCCTCTAACACTCTATCCCCACCTCTACACCTTAGCACACACGTGCCCCGTATGACAACCCTAGCCCTGCCTCTATACCCCCCAACCCACCCTCCGGTCACTCACCTGGCACCACTTGTACCGGAGCAGCAGCGTGGGCGCTCCGGTGTCGCGGCCCGGCTGATCGGCACGGCGGAACAATCTTGCCGCTTCGTCTGCCTCGTAACGCACAGGTACTGGTCCAGGTACGCGTCCGTGATCTTCTCGCAGGCGGTTCCACGTCGTAAGAAACGGACGGGAACCAGGTGACTGACAGGTCCATAAACTCAAATGCCCACCTGCAGGAGGAGATAGAGACGTGTGAGGGTTGGATGAAAGTGAGGGGCGGAGGAAGGGTGGAGGACGGGTGGAGTGAAAGATAGACGCACGAGATGTGGAGTAGAGGGGTGGGATCACGATGACAGACAGGGTGCAGTGACAAGTGGGGGCGGTGACCGGCAATATTAAGTGTGAAAGGAAAAATATTGAAACCAGTAAAAAAATAAATCAAATCAAATCAAAAATCAAAAAGCCAATCATGCGTAATGCGCTGCCCAATATCTAACTTTCTCTACATAGATCTACGTAGCAAGCTTCATAAAGGCCGGTCCGCTATAGCACCAGCAGGAGCCACAGAGGCATGCTGGGCGGAACAAAATACTGGCAAGAGGGACAGACGTACCTCCTTAAAGGCCGGCTGCGTGAGCAGGTGACGCTTGATGCGTGAGAGGAGGACAAGGCAGGGAGGAGGACAGGCAGGGAGGAAGACAGGCAGGAAGAGGAGCAGGCAGGAGGAGGACAGGCAGGCCAGGAGGACAGGCAGGAGGGAGGAGAGGCAGGGCGGAGACAGGCAGGGAAGGAGGAGAGGCAGGAGGAGGACGGCAAGGGAGGAGGACAGGCAGTTTTGCGAGGAGGACTAGGCCAGGAAGAGTACAGGCAAGGAGGAGGACAGAGCAGGGAGGAGACAGGCAGGGAGGAGGACAGGCAGGAAGGAGGACAGGGCAGGAAGGAGGACAGGTAGGGAGGAGGACAGAGCAAGGGAGAGGGAGACAGACGGCGTAGGCGCTCCTGAAGCTCCTCTGCGTGAGCAGGTGACGGCTTGATGCGTGAGAGGAGGACAGGCAGGGAAGGAGGACAGGCAGAGAAGATGACAGGCAGGGAGAGGACAGGCAGGGAGGAGACAGGCAGGGAGGAGGACAGGCAGGGAGGAGGACAGGCAGGAAGAAGGAACAGGGCAGGGAGGAGGAGAACAGACTGCGTACCTGCCTTGAAGGCTGCTCTGGGGTGAGTAAGGGACAGATGCGTACCTCCTTGAAGGCTCGCTGCGTGAGCAGGTGACGCTTGATGCGTGAGAGAGCCTCGTGTGGGTTGTCGTATGCCTGCTCGATGAGACCCAGCTCCTCACGCTGAGACTGATTCAGACGACTCTTCACACTGCAGGGCAGATGATAGTTCAGATACAATCCCACGCACGACCGTGTATCCCCCGCGAAGAGAGAGAGAGAGAGAGGTAGGTAAGCAAGAAACAGAGCGATGAGAGAGAGAGAGAAGAGGAAGAAAGAGAGAGAGAGAGAGAGAGAGAGAGAGAGAGAGAGAGAGAGAGAGAGAGAGAGAGAGAGAGAGAGAGAGAGAGAGAGAGAGAGAGAGNGAGAGAGAGATAACAGTCACACAGTGCACTACAATCCCACCGCTACACCACCCTAACATTCTAGCAACACTCTAGCAACATGTTAGCCGCCCCTTAACACTCTGGTCCTCCTCTAACACCCCAGCCCCCCTCGCACCTATCAACCCCCAAGTCACTCACCCTGGCACCACTTGTACGTGAGCAGCGGCGGTGGCTCGGTGTCGGCCGGCTTGATCCACGGCGGGAACAGTCTGCGCTTGTCTGCCTCGTACCACAGGTACTGGTCCAGGTACGCGTCCGTGATCTTCTCCAGCGGCTCCACGTCGTAGACGGGAACCAGGTGACTGTACAGGTCCATGAACTCAATGCCCACCTGCAGGAGGAGATAGAGACGTGTGAGGGGTGGAGTGAAGGATAGACGCACGAAGAGTGGAGTGAGGGGTGGGGATCACGATGACAGACAGGGTGCAGTGACAAGTGGGGCGCGGTGACAGCAAATATTAAGTGTGAAAGGAAAAATATTAAAAGGTAAAAAAATAAATCAAATCAAATCAAAAAGCCAATCTCGCTATCCCTCCCCATATCTACTTTCTCTACATAGATCTACGTACAAGCTTCATAGGCGATCCGCTATACCACCAGCAGAGCCACAGAGGCATGCTGCGGAACAAAATACTGGCAAGACGGGACAGACCTCCTTGAAGGCTCTCTGCATGAGCAGGTGACGCTTGATGCGTGAGAGGAGGACAGGCAGGGAGGAGGACAGGCAGGGAGGAGGACAGGCAGGGAGGAGGAGACAGACGCGTACCTCCTTGAAGGCTCTCTGCGTGAGCAGGTGACGCTTGATGCGTGAGAGGAGGACAGGCAGGGAGGAGGACAGGCAGGGAGGAGGAGACAGTTCGCAGCGCCGCAGGAGGAACAGCCAGGGAGGCAGCCAGGCAGGGGAGGCCACGGCACCACGGGCAGCAGGAGAAGGAGCAGGAACAGGTATATAAGAGGAGAGAAGGAACAGCCAAGAAAAGGAGAGAACGAGAACAGGAGGAAGGAACACAGGAATAGGAGAAAGAGGAGACCAGGAACAAAGAGAGAGGAGAGACAAGGACAACACAAGGGAAAGGAGGGACAAGTAGGAGAGAAGAGAGAAAGACAGACAAGGGGAGAGAGGAAGGAAAGAGAACACAGGGAGGAGGAGCAGGGCAGGGAGGAAGAGAGGCCACGGCGACGGAGGAGAGGCAGGGAGGAACGGACAGGCAGGGAGGGAGGACAGACAGGGAGAGGACAGACAGGGAGGAGAAGCAGGCAGGGAGGAGGACAGGCCAAGGAGGAGAGCGGCAGGGAGGAGGACAGCAGGGAAGGAGACAGGCAGGGAGGAGACAGGCAGGGAGGACAGGCCAGGGAGGAGGACAGGCAGGGAGGAGGAGGACAGGCCAAGGGAGGGAGGAGACAAGGACGCTTACCTCCTTGAAAGGCTCAGGCTTGGTGAGGCAAGTGAAACGCTTGATGCGTGAGAGGAGGAGCAGCAGGAAGAGGAACAGGGAGGAGGATCAGGCTAGGGAGAGAGGAGAGGTCAGGAGGAAGGAACAAAGGCAGGGAGGAGGACAGCAGGGAGGAGGAGAGGCAAGGGAGGAGGAGAGCAGGGGAGGAGGACAGGCCAAGGGAGGACGAGAGGCAGGAGGAGGACAGGCCAGGGAGGAGGCAACAGGCAGGGAGGAGGAGAGGCAGGGAGGAAGGACAGGCAGGGAGGGAGGACAGCAGGGAGGAGGAACAGGCAAGGGAGAGGACAGCAGGAAGGAGGAGAGGCAGGGAGGAGAGCAGGCAGGAGGAGGACGGCAGAGAGAAGGAACAGGCAGGGAGAAACAGAGGGAAGGAGGACAGCAGGAAGGAGGACAGGCAGGAGGAGAAAGGCAGGGAGGAGGACCAGACCAGGTGAGGGAGACAGGCAGGGAGGAGGACAGGCAGGGAGGAGGCAGCAGCGAGGAGGAACAGGCAGGGAGGAGAAAGGAGGAGACAGGCAGAGAGGAGACAAGGCAAGGGAGGAAGGACAGCGGATAAGTAGGAACAGGCCAGGTGAGGAGGACAGGCCAGGGAGGAGGAACAGGCAGGGAGGGAGGACAGGCAGGGAGGAGGACAGGGCAGGAGGAGGACAGGCAGGGAGGAGGAAAGCATGGAGAGGACAGGCAGGAGGAGGACAGCGCAGGGAGGAGGACAGCAGGGAGGAGGAGGACAGGCAGGGAAGGCAGGACAGGGCATGGAAGGAGGACAGGCAGGGAGGAGGACAGGCATGGGAGGAGGACAGGCAGGGAGGAGGACAAGCGCCAGGGAAGGAGGCAGGGCTATTGGAGGAGGACAGGCAAAGGAGGAGGCCAGGCATGGAGGAGGACAGGCCAGGGAGGAGGACAGGCAGGGAGGACAGGCAGAGGAGGAGGAAGCAGGCAGGGAGGAGGAACAGGCAGGGAGGAAGGGACAGGCAGGAGAGACAGGCAGGGAGGAGGAACAGGCAGGAGGAGGAACAGGCAAGGGGAGGAGGACAGGCAGGGAGGAGGACAGGCAGGGAGGAGGACAGGCAGGGAGGAGGACAGGCAGGGAGGAGGACAGGCAGGGAGGAGGACAGGCAGGGAGGAGGACAGCAGGGAGGAGGAAGGCCAGGAGGAGGGACAAGGCAGGGAGGAGGACAGGCAGGGAGGAGGACAGGCAGGGAGGAGGACAGGCAGGGAGGAGGACAGGCAGGGAGGAGGACAAGTAGGGAGGAGGACAGGGCAGGAAGAAGGACAGGCAGGGAGGAGACAGGGCAGGGAGAGGATCAGCAGGGAGGAGAACAGGCAGGGAGGAGAGACAGGCAGGGGGAAGGAGAGGCAAGGAGGAGGAACAGGCAGGGAGGAGGACAGGCAGGGAGGAGGACAGGCAGGGAGGAGGACAGGCAGGGAGGAGGACAGACAGGGAGGAGGACAGGCAGGGAGGAGGATACAGGCAGGGAGGAGGAGAGGCAAGGGAGGGAGGACAGGCAGGGAGGAGACAGCAGGAAGAGACAGGCAGGGAGGAAGGACAGGGCTATTTGGAGGAGGAAAGGCAGGGAGGAGGACAGGCGAGGCAAGGAGGACAGCAGTGAGGAGCACAGCAAGGAACGAGGACAGCCAGGGAGGCAGGAGACCAGACGAACGCCGTACTCTCCTTGAACGCTCCTCGCGTAGCAGGTGACCGCTTGATGGCGTGACGAGGAGGACCCGCGTGCTAGGAAGGAGGACCAGCGCAGCGGCGAGCCGAGCGAGAGCACGGGAGGCAAGGACGAGGCCCACTCCAGGGAGGAGAGACAGACGCGTACCTCCTTGAAGGCCTTCTGCGTGAGCAGGTGACGCTTGATGGCGTGAGAGAAGGCGACAGGCAGGGAGGAGGAACAGACAGGCAGGAGAGAGGACAGGCATAGGGGAGAGGACAGGCAAGGGAGGAAGGACAGGCAGGGAGAGGACACAGCAGGGAGGAGGCCACAAGGCAGGAGGAGGACAGGCAAGGGAGGAGGACAGGCAGGGAGAGGACAGGCCAGGAGAGGAAGGACAGGCAGGGAGGAGGACAGGCAGGGAGGAGACAGCAGAGTAGGACAGGCAGCGGAGGAGGAGAACAAGGCAGGGAGGAGGAAGGCAGGAGGAGGACAGGCAGGGAGGAGGACAAGGCAGGGAGGAGGACAGGAGGGAGGAGGGACAGGCAGGGAGGCGAGGACAAGGCAAGGGAGGAGGACAGACAGGGAGACGAACAGGCAGGGAGGAGCGACAAGGCAGGGAGAGGACAGGCAGGGATGAGGACAGGGCAGGGAGGAGGACAGAGCAGGGAGGCAGGACAGGCAGGGAAGGAGGACAGGCCAGGAGGAGACAGGCAGGGAGGAGGAGACAGACAGCGTACCTCCTTGAAGAGCCTCTCTGCGTGAGCAGTGATGCCTTGATGCGTGAGACGGAGGACAGGCAGGAGGAGGACAGGCAGGTGAGGAAGGACAGGCCAAGGGAGGAGGAAGACAAGACGCGACCTCCTTGAAAGCTTCTCTGCGTGAGCAGGTGACGCTTGATGAGCGTGCAGAGGAGGACAGGCAGGGAGGAGAACAGGCGGAAGGAGGAGAGGCCAGGCAGGAGGACCAGGCAGGGAGGAGGAGACAGAAAACCGCCTACGCTCCATTGACAGGCTCTACTGCGTGACGCAGATGCACGCTTGATCGCGCTGAGAGAGCCTCCGTGCTGCGGTTGTCGTACTGGCCTGCTCGACTGAGACCCCAGCTCCTACACCGGCTGACGCACTGACTTCAGCCACGACTCCTCACACTCGGCACTCGGGCAGATGATACGTTCCAGATACAATCCCACCGCACCGACCGTGTATCCCCCCCGAAGAAGAGAGAGAGAGAGAGGTGGTAAGACAGAAACAAAGCGATTGAGAGAGAAGAGAGAGAGAAGGAGAAGAAAAGAGAAGAGATTAGAAAGAGAGAGAAAGAGAGAAGAAAGAGAAGAAAGAAGGGAGGAGGGAGGAGGGAGGGAGAGAGAGAAGAGAAGAGAGAGAGAGAGAGAGAAGAGGAGAGAGAGAGAGAGAAGAGAGAGAGATTAGAGAGAGAAGAGAGAGAGAGAGAGAGAGAGAGAGAGAGAGAGAGAGAGAGAGGAGAGAGAGAGAGAGAGAGAGAGAGACATAGACAGAGAGAGACCAGTGGGAGAGAGAGAACAGAGAAAGTATCAGCCTAGCTAAACAGAAGAGAAAAACTCACACATAAACAGCACAAGTGATAACAGTAAATAGGCACGCTGAGAAAACGCCCCCCTCCCCTCGCCTCGCTCTTCCCCTCCCCTCCCCCCTCTTCTCCCCTCCCCTCCATCATCTTCCACCCTCACCTACTCTCTTCCGCTCCCCTCCACCCCCCTCCTCTACCCCTCCCCTCCCTCACTCTTCGCCCACTCACCTCCCTCCTCTTCCCTTCCCCTCCCTCCCTTCCCTCCCTCGCTCTTCACCTTTCGCGTCCCTCCCTTCCCTGGCCCCTCCTCCTCTTCCGCTTCCGCCTCGCTCTTCACCTCCCCTCGCTTGCCCTCTTCCGCACTCCCTCCCTCCTCTCCCTTCCCCCGTCCATCTTCGCCTGCCCCGTTCCTCTTCCCCTCCCGCTACCCCCTCTTCCCTCCCCTGACGTCACCTGTAGGCTTCCATTGCAGATCTCTCGATGGGCCGAGGATGAGCAGCTTGGAGTCATAGTTTGTAGGAGAGCGGGGGGAAAAGGGTAATGGGAGAGAAGCGGCGGCTTACTTCCAGCCAGTGCAACTTGCGTCGTTGGTATATCGTCCAACCACCCGCCATCCTCGGGGCGCTCGATCGGTAGGGGGCGCGGGTCCGTGGGTAGACACGAGGGGCGACGACACATGCAAGTTTAACAGAATGTACTTGAAAACAAAAAGGCAGCTACTAGCAGAGCCACCAGCCGCATACGCCGAGAGCAGCAGATGCGCAAACGAGTCCGTTAGTAGCATCCTTTTGTTTCAAGTTAGAGCGTTATACATTTCGTTTTTCTGGGCAACAAGAAAATGGATATATATTGTGTGTACGTTTTAGTCTGTATCTCCGGATTGCGGGTCGTATACGAGAAAACGATTTCGCCAGATGCTAGGACAAATGTAACTGGTGTACGATATTGAAGCTCAAGTTTGATTGAGTTTTAACGCGTATGTAAATCGTAGGTATATACTAAAGGCATTAGAAATGAACGAATTTCGCCATATGTTTTATTTGAAGTCACAACTCCATTCTGACTATTTAGATTATGCTTACTTCCGATCTATATGCATACAATACAACAGCTATCCTAAGTGCTTGCACCGCACATATTACATCCATAACACGAACACGCTGTAAGACTTCATAGCCGTGGCACGTGTATTCTACTGTCACCCACCTTCAGGTAATTGTGCTGCCTCTCCTGCTCTGCCTTCAGGTAGAGTCGCGTCAGACGACCTAGGTTCTTCTTACACACCGTCTTGTCGACCTGGAAACCATGGAAACCACGGCGAACGAAAGCTTCATCATTACTCAACCCACACAGCATCGCGACAATCGCACGCCAACAGCCACCCTCACATGTCAGCGTACGACACTGACTGCCACTCATGTAGTCGCAACAATCGTAACAACCTCACGCCAACTGCCACCTCCCACCTGGCCTCATGGCCAAGCTAATTGTAATTAATAAGCCATGGTGAAACCAGCTTCGTTACATTAGCGCAACAAACACGTTAGCGTAACCAAGTCAAGAAGACCAACGTCGACACCGATTTCGGTTCCGTCGACGGGCCTGCGATCGCTCGCGATAGCTTAAACGCTACATCGAATGTCATTAGCTGTAGGTCTTATGGCCCGCGACCAATCGCTCTCTCTCGAGCTTAAACGTTGTACTGAAGGTCAAGAGCTGTAGGTTTAATTTTACACGCGATCGCGCGAGGGGCACTGCGCCCAACGCAGCGCGCGTACGCCGGCACGTGTGTAGGGGGCGCTGACGCACCGTGGCGCCGCGGCGGATACGCTCGCGGTTGTAGTGAGCGGTGTTCGTCCACCAGTCGGCCTTCGACTTCACGAACCGCAGGATCATGTTCTCGATCGGCGTCGGTAGTCCCGGAACCTGCCGTGCAAGAACAACATTGTATGAGAACAGCAGCCGTGTTCGCGCGGCTATGAGGGTGTTTTACGTTGAAGGGGTTCACTTGTGAACGTTAACACTTACGCACTTGCCCTGGTGAAAATGTCGGCTTTGCACAACTAACAATTATGCAGATCAACAAATAATCAGACTAAGACGAATGAAAGACACAGAAGAATGCCGATCCAAACACACACAAGGCCAGGCAACGCTTTACCCATTTCACCGCCGGAACGAATTAACGTCGAAAAATATTTATCCACGCAACCATTAATGCATTTTCTGGCCACCTGATGGCAGCACGTGCTATTACGCACCTTCCATGGGATGTTGGCCTTCCAGCATCTCCAGGCTTCGCTGAGATGCTGTAGGATCGTCCTCGCCTTGTTCTGCTTGATTCCCTCCGGCATCATGTCCACAATGTCGTGCATCACCTGCCGGCAGCAGCAGACGACAACGCTGGGTCAGCTCTCTACACATCTACGCAATATAATACTACTACTGCCAACCTTGAAGGTACCCTGCTCCTTCTAACTCCACCCTCATAACACCTAACATACCCTGCTCCTCCTAACTCCACACTCATAACACCTAACATACCCTGCTCCTCCTA